ATCAACTACCAACTACCAACTTTCCTTGAGAGTAAAGAATGAGGTCGTCTTAGGCACAGTTTGGCATGAGAAATATCTCAAGAGGTGTGTATAAGTGGTGTAAATGTGATCGAGCTTTGGCACCAACATCATTCAACACGATCCCAGCTCAATTGTCGCCTGTTATGTTGAATATCTCACCGGATAACTATGATCTTGATAAGCTCTTAAGTACTTACTGCTTAAACGGATTTGGGGCCTTCGAGTGTCGGGAGCTTCACAAATCAGACCAGAAGAGTGCTTTGACCCACCTTAATTCACCTTTGTTTTGAAATTGGCAAGGATGCAAAAGGTAGAGTGTTCGCATTCTATATGGCCTTCAGTTTGGATGGCGGACTCCACGGTCATATCCTCGAATGGGGAGGAAGGACAATGTGGGAGGAGATTTAGCTCCTGTCCTGTGCCAGAACCCCATTAGGCTCTTCCACAGGTCGACAACACACGTCATTGGGAAGTCTAGGACACTTCAGTAGAGCGGTCCAAAGCACCAAGACTGAGATAAACGCAGGACAATGTATTAGCGTGCATGTCATAATCTACTGTCTGATAAACAAACAGTCCCAGCAATTTGGTCACATACCCAATTAGCTATCAAAACTCGAGGGGAACCAATCACCAAATTTCCCTTTCCAAACGTAGCCCTTCAAACCAATGGCAACAGTGAATAAGCCTCTACAACTTAAGACAGCTCTAACTAACGCATTTGCCCTCTCATCACTTACAAAGGCTAATCGACTAAATAATTATAAAATTTCCACAAAGTGAACTTAGCTTTTAAGCATTCACCTGTAGAGATGGCTCAACAGTTACAGAAACAGAGACCATTCATCATACACACACAATTTCACAATTTCGATATACAGAGAGCCAAGCAAGAGACAGTCTTTAGCTAGACGTATGTGGATTGATATGTAGGGGGAGGTGGAATGAGAGAAAGGGCTAAGGAAAGACAGAATCGAGAGGAGTGGGGAGAAGGGGGAGGGGATTAGAATTTCAGGGCCTTTTCTGCTGTATGCCCAACTACAAATTCGCTGATACGTCGAAGAAAGTGGGGATATTCACGCCGAGCCATTGTACGAACCACAGCGGCAGGAGCCCATCCACCTGGATTAATTTGAGAGGCGTAGAGTAGACGGCATTGCAGTGCCTCTCGCTTCACGCCCGCCGCCTCCCACCGTGCCATTTGTTCCTCGGGAGATAGGGACTGCAACTGCTCTACGTTTGGTAGGCTAGACATGTCAAAATCAGGAGTAGGAGGACGCCAGAGGGTCTGGCAGAACATCTCTACATCCACTACAAGGCGGATGAAGGAGGGTGTCTTCGCCGAAGGAGGAAGACGCTCCTCGCCGTATTTAGTGGAGTAGTTTACCACCATCCAGGTATCAAGGACAACCAGACCCGCAGCCGTCACTGCCTCATCAACGGGGAATTGAGTGGAGTCAAGGCGACGCATATGCGACCAGAAGAGCGAGTCTCGCTGGGTGGCTGGCCAGACGCGTTTGTAGGCCTGCACAA